CAGACATCATGTGTATGTCAAGAAAGGCAGGCACGTTAATAGTGGTGCTCAGTCATGGGTATCACTTCGCCATGTGTTTCTAATGATCTCCGTGCATTATGGCGTGATCCGACGCGCTAACGAGCCCGATGTGAAAGTTACATTACAGAACCATTGAAATACATGTTAAAGTAGTGTTATTCTTGTAACACTATATTTATCAATTACAAACCATTTACGCGTGTACTAAATATATGGCAAACCTAACCCTGGTTATACGAGATTTCAAAGGTATTGAAATGCATGTCCTACAATCACAGCATTTACATATGTTACACATGCTAGAAAGCACATGAAAACAATGGCCAGATTTACACACCTGTTAAATACATGTAAATACAGAGTTGAGTGTTCGTTACTTTTAACACCCTTTTAAACGTGTGTAAATCTGACAGCCAGATGACACGTAGATTCCCAACGTTGTTCATATGGCCGCCGGATGAAACGTATATTTCTTAATGTTAGTAAATTTGGGCAATACAGTCATTTTGTGTGGTGCTGGTCTCAGGTACTTCAAGCCAAGCATATCAGAGGTTAGTACCGAACTTTGTACTTTGCCTGGGATCCACAACATCAACATCTACATTTGGGCGACATCAAGAACTTCTGCTGTTGTTCACAATCACATCATGAACATTGTCATCGCCTCCAAGTTTGCACCCTGTAAATCCCCAGGGCCCCGTCTCCGCTCCATCACCGGGTCAACGACTCCATACGAACATTTGGAAGGAATGAAGAAGTCCCATTAACTTACGCGATGCGTACCCATTGCTGACTCGAAACGTCTCTATATAACACTTGTCATCGTCACTCATGTAGTGTCTTCAAGACATGCGCAAGCAGTGGCAGCGTGTCAGTTCTAACCACCACAGCTTCAAGAACAAGGCCTGGTTCCTGTGCAGGATCTACCACAGCTACACCTCAACGTTCACCCCACAGCCGTCCCGTCACACCCTATCACGACCCAGAGAAACACACTAAACAGATCAAGATTACTGTGCTGGAACTGTTCTCCTGCAAACTATTCAGAGATTCTATTCCATATTCAATTTGGGTAAGCATTTTTCGGTTACTACCTTCTTACGTATTATCCATTACACCTGTCATATGACCAATCTATTTGTCAAAATGTCATTGGTGCAGATGACTCCAACCAACAGTCCCTACGTCAATGACCGTATTGTACGAAACACACTCCGTCAGTTTATCTTAACCATCCCACCCACTTTCTTTCTACTGCTGACAAACTAAGGCCCGTTTGTTCGAAAGAAGAGTAATTTAAAAGCTAAAAGAAAATGAGTATTTGATAGATATGATTCCAGTTTATTGTCAGTTTTACTCGATATGTTGATCATTTAGATGAATTTGCAAGACCAAGTTTGCCAGTCTATGCAATGTGGTTTCTGTGAAAGGGATGCTTCAACCAGGAACCTGATGCATGAATCTTTGTGCCAACCAAACATTATTCAGGCCGGTTTTGTCTAAAATGTTTCTAAGTCAGCCATTGATAAATCCTACCGTGTGTATTTGCAGTTTTATACGAGATTATGGATAATTTGTGAGACACTTTACTACATTTTCCAGATAGAACCTTCGAAAAAACTATGATAATTCATATTTTCTATGAGAAGGTGTGTTTTACCCAGTCCGCCATAGATCATAGCAAGTGGTGTACTTTTTAACTGGGATATGTTTTCTTCGGAAATGTACATGAACTTTTACAATATATTTATAATTGTACAAATCCGCACAACGTTACACCCATATAGAATATGTTTCACCTGCATGGCATCGAATAAATATAGTTAAGTGAAAGGTTATGTATGTGTGATTTACGTAGAACTAAATACAGAGCTTTAGTAGCCTGATCCCAGAAGTTTTATACTGATTTTGTCAATGTATCATTTTATCTGAAAATGAATCCAAAGAAACGTATACATTCAAAGTTAGTCCCATTTAAAGTAATATGCTGTGTTTCGTTAGATGCATTGACCTAAAATGAACAGTCTTTGTTTCACCAGTATTTAGGATAAGCATCCATCTGGCACAATGTGAAGCAAATCAACTGATTTTTGTAAATTCCCGTTTCTGAAAGCGTTAAAAGTCTGTATCATCTATTAATAGCAATACAAATAATATCAGTGAAAAATTAATCATAATATCGAGAGAGGACGATTGCTGGTTATTGTTAACCAACGAGAAATCAAAACCTTAAATGTTTAAAAAAAATAATGATTTGAATGCAGAAATAGCGTCGTTACTTTAGCGACTGAATCCGAATCCCAGTAATGTCTGCTACCAATGTACGAGATTACCTCCCAGTTGACAGACACCCAATTGACAGACAGTCGATTGATAGACACTGAACTAGAAGGTTAATAAGGGTATAATGGAACAGTCCACTCTCCAGCGAGTAGAGTTGGGTGAGCCTGAAACAGATTCGTTACTGAGAAGTTTGATTGTGTGCAAATAGAACTTTGTTGTGATTAAATGCTAATCTGTCTTCTCTTCTCAAAATTGTTTTGACAGAGCCAAGCTGAGACAACTCGCCTTTAGGGCTTCTCATCTGAGTCGCAGGCGAGTCTATAGAGAGATAGACAACAGGATCCTGAGACTCAAAGACGCGCTAAGTCGCGGAGGGAAGACGCCACTTCAGTACCTTGATGTGCTGGCCAACCTCATAGAACTTGGATAACTGGATATGTTTATATGATGACAATTAAGAGCTACTGTGCTAGTTACTGAGACTATGCTACCTATTGAATGTTACTACATCACAAGAAGGGAACTGCATATAGCACTTGTTGAAGCTAGCACACCTGCCCGCGATCAAACGGTCGACAATTTATCCACCCCGTTATGTCAACATCGTGCGGTCATATTCGACCGACCTTGACCACCAGAGCCTCTTCAAATATCGACCCTACCACTGAACCCGTCCACGTCCCAACATACTTAATCAAGTGATGACGCGCGGGTCTTTCCAAAACCAAATTAATGTACGGGTTACAGATATGTCCTCACCTAACACCCTTCTGCGGCAGGGATAGATGATCTAGTCAACTTTCCACCCGACCGAGTTTCTCCTTTCTTCCCTTGTTCTCTCCCTATTTCAGTCAGGGAAGCCCCAAAGCCATTTAGCAATATGTTGCAACCAGTCACTGTATAAACAGGCTGGGCAAGAGAGTATTAATTGATAATTTGAAATGACTTAGAAGCCAATTGACACGGATCACACAGAAACCCGCACCAAAAACTAATGCGGAATCACCATGTGAATAAATAATGTCCACATGTATATAACGAAATACCGTGTTTTATATATCAGACATCATACATGAAGTGTCAGGTATATACTTTGTAAATGGTCATCAGGCAAACGGTTGTTAAATATAATCATTACTTGAGACCATGAGTACTACAAACATACCAGGCGTTACATCCCACAACCAGTTATTCTCATCACAAATGAGACGATCACATCATACATGCGATCAACTACCATTCTAGTAATCTGACACAGAGAAATACAACATGTATTTTACCATATACATTTGAACTAGGACATCGACTGTCAAAGAAACGCATAGACATAGGTAAAAAAATACCCTCTAAAGGTAATGGTATAGATCTGAGTTAACGCTCAGTGCATGAAACCTTTATGAGTGACGGACGAAGAGAGATTAATGTGAAAGGGTAATGAAAGAGTATTTATGTTAAGTGAGGTGTCAACTGTCGGAACCAGGTACAGGGCAACCTCGGACAAAAGAGACCACGCCATTGTTTGGGGACCCTGGAGGGACACCAGTAGTTGAAATATGATGAAGGAAGTAGTAGAGAAGTGAAGAGAGAGGGTGGTGTCAACTGTCGGAACCAGGTACAGGGCAACCACAGCCAAAGAGCAATCACTCCATTGTCTGGGGACCCTGGAGAGACATCAGTAGTTGAAGTGTGATGAAGGAAGTAGTTGAGAAGTGAAGAGAGAGGGTGGTGTCAACTGTCGGAACCAGGTACAGGGCAACCTCGGACAAAAGAGACCACGCCATTGTCTGGGGACCCTGGAGAGACATCAGTAGTTGAAGTGTGATGAAGGAAGTAGTAGAGAAGTGAAGAGAGAGGGTGGTGTCAACTGTCGGAACCAGGTACAGGGCAACCTCGGACAAGGAGCCCACGCCATTGTTTGGGGACCCTGGAGAGACACAAGTAGTTGAAGTATGATGAAGGAAGTAGTAGAGAAGTGAAGAGAGAGGGTGGTGTCAGCTGTCGGAACCAGGTACAGGGCAAGCACAGACAAAAGAGCCACCACGCCATTGTCTGGGGACCCTAGAGAGACACCATTTGTTGTAGTATGATGAAGGAAGTAGTAGAGAAGTGAAGAGAGAGGGTGGTGTCAACTGTCGGAACCAGGTACAGGGCAAGCACAGACAAAAGAGCCATCACGCCATTGTCTGGGGACCCTAGAGAGACACCAGTAGTTGTAGTATGATGAAGGAAGTAGTAGAGAAGTGAAGAGAGAGGGTGTAGTCAGCTGTCGGAACCAGGTACAGGGCAAGCACAGACAAAAGAGCCATCACGCCATTGTCTGGGGACCCTAGAGAGACACCAGTAGTTGTAGTATGATGAAGGCAGTAGTAGAGAAGTGAAGAGAGAGGGTGGTGTCAACTTCAATCTTCAATATGACCTATATCCAATTGTTATATCGTAATTGTCTATACGTTCCCAAAGCAAGCATTAGTTTTGGAGACGTATATAGAACTGTGCTAATGAAGTTCTACATTTACTAAGATCAACATCCAAAAATATAACTGTTTGTGCATACATCAGAACTGAAAGAGTTAGACATTTGGAAGACATTTCAAAATTATATGTATCTGTGGCAAATGATACCCGATAAAATCCACATTTATAATATAGTCGGAATCGTACAATCGACTCTGCTTCCAGCAGAAATTTCTTATGGATATGGAAAGGATTTTGTTTATTGCTTGTATGTAATGCAATAACATTGGCAATAAAAAAATTCAACTTTTGAAAGTGCTTTTCTTTGATTTTTCTACTTGTGGACAAAACTAGTTCATCTTTGTATTTCTGGTAAAGATGGCTCATTCAAATATAACCATATCCGTATTTCAATGGTTATGACTTCAACTTTTAGCCTAATAAATACATCATATTATCCAATATAACATCCTATTTGAGATTAGTGCTATTTTTTTTAAATTGTCATGAGCTGCTTTATTAAAGGCCACCATTTAGTATCAAACAGTCATATTATCGTACAGAGTTCAAACCAGTGTGCAAACGTTATGATCAGTCCAAAACAACCCAGTTCAATATATTCATGACAGTCATCATTAACTGTAATTATGGTCAAAATGTCCAGCTGCAATTGTAGTCAGAATATCCACCTTTTGCTAGAATATTCAGTGTCTGTGTAGTTGTAGTCAGAATGTCCAGTTGTAGTTGTAAGCAGACTGTCCACTTTGTGCTGGAATGTTTAGTGTCTGTGCCTTGCGAACACCCACAGACCTTCAGTGGCCTTCATAACACCGGCATCCTTCCGGCCTGCTCGGTGGCTTGTATCTACCTCCAGATTGTATCTGTAACACAACACAATACTCACGTTCTTTACTGTATTAGCAATGAGACGTTAATGAAAATTAATGACAAAGTAGATCAATTTATCCACGTAACTTTAGTACAATTCTGAAACTGACTTCAGTTTGCACAAACGTTTCAAAACCAAAAAGATTTCTAGAACTAAACATTTCTATAACAGGAACCATTTTTTTATGGATAGACAACTTCTTTATTGCAACGGATGCAACGTTTCGGAGTAGGGACTAACACTGTTATTAAGCAAGTAGATTTCTAGAGTTTGTGCTGTTTATGTCACTGCATGACACATCCTTTTTCAAATAACAGCGGCTGAAATCACATATAATGATTACTAAAAGAAAACATACCTTTGAAGAATTCTTCCTATCATGACCTTTTGCTCGTGGAGGGCGAAATGTTGTCCGATGCAGTTTCTGAACAGTAAATATTAATACGAATAATGCCCCAAAGGAAGTAAGTTTTTCTTGTAATAGTAACTTCAAGAAATCATACATTTGATTTTGTTCATATTACAATATCTTGTCCAGAATACAGACTGGAAATAATTAAAACTTGTCTATAATATAATTATATAATTCTGGTAAAAAGCAAAGTTCGAAAACTATTCCTGTATTTATTCATTATTTCAAGTGTGAAACAGCTGCATTGGCGGCGAAACGCACACATTGAACAGATACTGAGAAGCTCAACTTAGGAATCTTATAATGGCACCTGCTTTTAGTAGAAATTTCTTATGATTTTAGAAAACATTTGATCAAAAACAACTCATACTTTTTGACTGAGGTGTTCATGCCGATATATCAATCAACATCCTGTAAGCTTAAACGGTTAATTGAAACATTGTAGTATAGTCTGTCATTGACATTTTGTCAACATGTTCAGATGATACTACACAGGTCACTACCAACTAATGGAACTCCAGGGACATGAGCGATCTTAAGGGAGGCAGGCTCGACACACCACTACAGCTGTACTGTTACCTCGGGCCAGCTGAAAAGGGGACATATGCGTAGTGGTCCTTCTTCTGGATGTTCTCGGGCAGAAACCGATCAGGATCAAAGACTTCCGGGTCCTCCCACACTTCCGGGTTGTGATGAATGTTCCACAACCCCAGTGAGACGACTGTTCCTGCAGGGAAGATCTTCCCGTCAATATCCATGGGGTGTTCCAGTCTCCGACTGACGTAGGGAGCGACCGTGTGGATCCTCAGCCCTTCCTTCAGACATAGCGTCATATACTCCATCTTGGGGATGTCATCCCTAATAATATATAAAGGTTTCGTTATCCCTTCATCTGCTCAAACATCTCCAACCCAACGGTCAAATATATCAATATATACAGTCTCAACAGGTATGGATCTATGATCTAATATTGGCACTACCCAACCAGGTCATGTGCCCTATTAGAGCAGGGGGTTTACCCTACCAGACCATGTGTCCTACCAGAGCGTGCGGTGTACCCTACCAGACCATTGGTCTACCAGAACGGGTGGTGTACCTTACCAGACCATGTGTCTATCAGAACGGGTGGTGTACCTTACCGGACCATGTGTCTATCAGAAGAGGCGGTATACCCTACCAAATCATATATCCTACCCGACCATGTGCAATATCAGAATAGGTGGTGTACCCTACCAGGCCATGTGTCCTACCAGAACGATTGGTTTACCCTACAAGACCATGTGTCCACCAGAACGGGTGGTGTACCCTACCAGACCATGTGTCTACCAAAATGGGTGGTGTACCCTACCCAATCATGTGCAATATCAGAATGGGTGGTGTACCCTACCAAGCCATGTGTCCTACCAGAACGAGTGGTTTACCCTACAAGACCATGTGTCCATCAGAACGGGTGGTGTACCCTACCAGACCATGTTTCTACCAGAATTGATGGTGTATCTTACCAGACCCTGTGCAATAACAGAACGAGTGGTGTACCCTTCCAGATCATGTGCAATATAAGAACGGGTGGTGTACCCTACCAGATCATATGCAATATCAGAATGGGTGGTAACCATTCTTATTGATGCGCTTTACGAGGTGATGAACCTAACTAGGTGAACTACCCTACTTAGTGATGCTCTTCACGAGGTGATGTATCTGACAAATGGTGTAACCTTTCAGGTGATGTACCCTACCAGGTGATGTGCTCAAAGTGGTGATGTACCAAAGTAGGTCATGGGCCCAACCTAACAATTTATGTGCCCTACCAGGTGATGTGCCCTACCAGGTGATGTGCTTGGACTCTCTTCCGTCCAGCAATGTGTCCAGTTCCTCCTGGATCCTGGTCTGGTACTCCGGTTTGGACGATAGGGAATACAGCGTCCATGATACCCCACTGGCCGTTGTATCGTGTCCTTTAAACAATGAAATATAGCCTAAAAACATACATTTCAAATTAAAGTTATTCCAAAAGGAAACAACAAATACTCCATTTAGCTGGGTGCCGTTGGACAATGTGATCTTAGCGCGGATGTTATCGCAACTCCCAAACCTTAACATAGACTTCCGACAGAGAAAACGATAAGATTGTTTGTACAGCAGCATCAGTGGTCAATATTGTTCGTAGCAAAGTTGAAAATCTTATATATATTTATAGATAAATCCTTTTGTTCTAACCCTTTGTGCCGAGACCACGTCTCTTCGATATGAGCTGCAGGTTTCTGGCTTGTGGACCCCTTTATAAAACCTATTGAATCGTTAATCCACCCGACTCTGTACATGGTCCACACTTAATGCATATGTCAAGACTCACGGAATGCTAAGTGTACTTCAATATTTCACATTCTAAATGATGAACTGAAAGGATGAATTTATTAATGCAATCAGTTTGTCCTCTTGATCAATTGGGGAGGCGGGTAGCCTCGTGGTTATGAAGACCCGGGTTCCATTCCTCACATGGGCACAATGTGGGAAGCCCATTTCTGGTGTTCCCCGCCGTGATGTTGCCAGAATATTGCTAAAAATGGCGTAAAACTAAACTCACTCACTCATTTGATCAATGCATGCTACTTTTGAGACCACATATAAAGTATATAGACACATGACTTCGATGAAATCGTCCATTTGAATTAACATCTAAACTATTTCAAAACTTCTTAAGCTCATCAATCCTGATTTTAGTAGTGACAACGACAAAAATTCATGGTGTAGGATTAATGACCATACCTTCAAACAGAAACGTATCGACTTCATTCCTGATCTCTAGCGGGTTGAGACCCTTGCCATCAGCATCTCTGGCACTGAGCAGGACGTCCAGGAAGTCCAGGTAGCGGGCCTCGGGGGGACCGTCACTCTCCTACACACAATACATTACTACTCCCACCATACCCTTATACCCCGATAATGTCACATACACAGGTTGCACCCAAAATACATTTTAACACACATGACACAAAATACATTGTTCCATACAATAGTAATAATTATAAGATGCTTCCTTAAAATATCATATTTCAAACCTTCATGTCAAATATGACCCATGGGCGGATTACCACCAGAATATATTTAACGTTGAAGTTCACAGAGTGCTACCTTACAAGTATTCTGCATTGCTTCCTGCATACTTAGATTAAAGTAAAACATGGCCCCAAGATACTTACAGTGTTTTCATTTCCAAACTTCCATCATATGCATATTTCATTTTACCCTTTTTTCGCTTCAAGTGAGATTGTAATTTGAGTTGTGACCAATTTAAATTGTGTCAAGAAAACAGCATGTCGTCTGCAAATGATATAGGTACCTTTACCTCCACTATATTCAACATCCGTGAAGATGCGGGTTAGAATTGATCTTCAGCAATCCTACTACCTACTCAGTGCAATGTGAGTGAGTTTAGTTTTACGCCGCTTTTGGCAATATTCCAGCAATATCACGGCGACTGACTGAGTTTAGTTTTACGCCGCTTTTAGCAATATTCCAGCAATATCACGGCGGGGGACACCAGAAATGCGCTTAACACATTGTGCCCATGTGGGGAATCGAACCCGGGCCTTCGGCGTGACGAGCGAACGCTTTAACCACTAGGCTACCCCACCGCCCTCTCAGTGCAACGTTACATACAGTACACTGTTGACCACACAAGAACTGACCAAGGTCTGTCGCCTCTTGTCGATGATGTTTTCCGCATAGCCATGTACATAGTCACACTGCTGCTTGAACTTCTTCCCCTTGGACGTGTTGTCGAAAGATGAAGTCAAAGAAGTGCCAAGGGGTGCTGAATACAGAAGGAAGTTCTTTATCATTCTTGCATCGAATGGAACTACTTCTATAAGTTCCAATGCGGCCTGACAGAGGTACAAATAAGCTGCGTATCTGCGTAAATTACGCAAAAAGTTAGCTGCGTACAAGTCTGTTGCGTAAAAGTACGCTTGAATTTTGGTAAATACTCAATAAATGTGCGTACACACGAAAATGTCAAATCGTAGAATGCGTTGATATGTATATATATATAACTGAAGTATACTGAGAGGTTCTATTTCAGGACATGAACTTGACAACTTGCAGTCTTTCTTATCGTTTCTCATGTTACAGATCAAACATAAATAACAAACACTAACATTTAAACATTTTTATATTTTTAAAATTAATGGAAAACGGCAAAATACCCAATTGAGTTTGAGTGAGATGAGTACAATTTATTGGGTAACTCAAAGGAAAATTAGGATACCCAAGTGTGGTTTGCGGCCATACACATGTTAATTTGTAGCTGTATGAAGGACACTCATAAATATACGTGACAACACACACACACACACACACACACACACACACACACACACACACACACACACACACACACACACACACACACAGAGGGATAGGAGGGAGGAAGGGAGGGAGAGAGATAGAGAGAGAGACACACACACACACACACAGAGAGACAAACAGACAGACAGATAGACACACAAACACACATGTACCTAACGTGTAGGCTTACCAGCCTCAAGAAACCAAACAGGTCTTTATATATCCACAATCACATGCTTACAGACGCTCAACCACACGCATATATACATACGCACATATACCATGCAGCGCTAACATCCAATATCCAAATATGTTGTTCGCAGAGCGTCTCGTACACTTACAGGGTTCGGTCTGTAGCCAGAGTGAGTAAGTCGGTGACCGCGATTACATACGGGTGTGTTTGCCTGAAAAACAAAAATGTTGAATTCAACAGTTTCAAAAGAAATGATTTTGCTAAAAGTCTTGATCCTCCTTTAAGTGCACACCGGAAATGCTTTCCTTGTTAAAGAATGTCCTCCCTGTTACAGCTTAGATGGTGTATCATATCACAGAGAAAAATGCCTTTACATTGTGAATAGCGGTAACTTACATCTACAAAATAGCGTAAGATATTGCTTTTATCAACACCATATATTGGCACCAGCGACACCTATCTTGAAATTACATGTCTGTTCACAGGAAGTATCATATTCTCTACTATATTCTCCCTATTCATCCTACCCGGAAGGTCCGGGTTAGAATATTGATCTTCAGCAACCCATGCTTGTCGTAAGAGGCGACTAACGGGATCGGGTGGTCAGGCTCGCTGACCTGGTTGACACATGTCATCGGTTCCCAATTGCGCAGATCGATGCTCATGCTGTTGATCATTGGATTGTCTTTTCCAGACTCGATTATTTACAGACAGCCGGAATATTGCTGAGTGCGGCGTAAAACTAAACTCACTCACTCACTCATTCCCTATTCATCCATGTTGTTGTCCATTAATTTCAACGTATTCACCAATGCTGCTGTCCATCAAATTCCCCATATTCACCCATGCCCCTGTATTCACTCCATGTCTGTTCATCAAGTTCCCCGTATTCACCCATGCTGCTGTCCATCAAATTCCCCGTATTCACCCATGCTGCTGTTCATCAAATTCCGCGTATTCACCCATGCTGCTGTTCATCAAATTCCGCGTATTCCCGTATTCACCCATGCTGCTGTTCATCAAATTCCCCGTATTCACCCATGCTGCTGTGCATCAAGTTCCCCGTATTCACCCATGCTGCTGTTCATCAAATTCCCCGTATTCACCCATGCTGCTGTTCATCAAATTCCCCGTATTTACTCATGCTGCTGTCCATCAAATTCCCCGTATTCACTCATGTTGCTGTCCATCAAATTCCCCGTATTCACTCATGCTGCTGTCCATCAAATTCCCCGTATTCACCCATGCTGCTGTTCATCAAATTCCCCGTATTCACCCATGTTGCTGTCCATCAAATTCCCCGTATTCACCCATGCTGCTGTCCATCAAGTACCCCGTATTCACCCATGTTGCTGTTCATCAAATTCCCCGTATTCACGTATCTTGCTGTCCATCAAATTTCCCGTATTCACCCATGCTGCTGTCCATCAAGTACCCCGTATTCACCCATGCTGCTGTTCATCAAATTCCCCGTATTCACTTATCTTGCTGTCCATCAAATTCCCCGTATTCACCTATGCTGCTGTCCATCAAATTCCCCGTACTCACCCCTGTTGCTGTATGTTTTCCTTGACCGACATGGCGCATCTCAACAGGATATCAAGCGTGCACATACTGACCATGTTGAACAAGTCGAAACTGGAGCCTTCCTTCACGTGCTTGTCCATCTTCCCCTGTTAAACAATTGTTGATGGGTGGGAGAGAGCGATTTGAGGGCTGTTTATCGATGTAAGTCAATGTTAACATTCAGAACAGACGTGATAGGAAAGAACAATGTGATCCGAATCTCAGATGTTATGGTCAACGAGATGTAACATAAACTGACATTCAGAATAAGTATACACCTGGTATTTGGGAATTATTTTTTTCTAAAAAAAGATCACAATATAGAATCACCATTAATCTGAATAAAAATGTACCAATGAGTGTATATGTGTGCGTGTGTTTGTATATGCGTGCGCGAGTATGTGCGTTTCTGCGTGTGAGCGTTAATGTGTTGAATGAGTGCAGAGGCGGATTCAGGATTTTGGAGAGGGGTTGGGGGTGGGGGCGCATAAATCGTGAATGCAAAGGTTAGGGGAAATGCGCCTCTGGGAAAATGTTTTCGTGGCAGGGGGCATCTAACATCTGACATTTCATCTAACTAGCGCAAACTTGAATTTATCGGAGCGAAGCCGACGAAGGCATGTGCTAACATGTAGTCCACTAACCAGCATGATGTCCACTGCTTTGTTGGTGACGTCGACGTAGGGTTTGAGGATGTCGAAGTGGAAGGCGGGAGTGAGGAGGCGGCGAGATCGGTACCATTTGCGCCCGCCAGCAACCAGGAGACCCTCCCCCAACCAGGGAACAATTGCTTCATATTGGCCCCCAAATCCCCTTTGCTTTGGCTCTGTGCAATTAATGAGATGGTCAAAGCTTCTTGAATGATCACGAAATTGGTTAATATTTGTATTAAACTTTACCGAAACCTACTTGAGATTATTATTAGATTGTTAATTCACATTTCACGTATTTTATCCAAAGGTAAATGCTTAAATCTGTATGAGTATTTTACATTCTTTTAGAACAAACGATGGTTTGAGTCTTTAACAAATGGGTACACACAAATTAGTACATTTCTGGTGGACGTCATGGTGTTGATCATCACTGGCTTGTCTGGTCCAGACTCGATTATGTACACAATGCCGCCATATCAATCAAACAACCGACCGACCAACCGACCGACCGACCGTCCAACCATCTATCAATCCATCCATCCATCCATCCAACCAACCAATCAACCAACCATCCAACCAGCTGACAAGCGACCAACGAACCAACCAACCGACCGACCGTCCAACCATCTATCAATCCATCCATCCATCCATCCATTCATCCATCCAACCAACCAATCAACCAACCATCCAACCAGCTGACAAGCGACCAACGAACCAACCAACCAACCGACCGTCCAACCATCTATCAATCCATCCATCCATTCATCCAACCAACGAACCAATCAACCAACCATCCAACCAGCTGACAACCGACCAACCAACCAACCAACCAACCGACCGACCAATCAATCACCTGAAGACTTGATGATGGCTCTGATGGTATCTGGGTGGTAGACCCTAATGACTGGATGCAGCGGCCCTATCCAGAGTCGGTAGTACTTGGGGAATTTCCTCATCCATTCCTGCTCCACTGCAACACGCTTTTCAAAATCCAGTGGGTACTGAAATACAACCACACTGCAGCGGAGTGCACAGAGGGAATGATCTCCGTGAATGATCTCCATGAGTGGGTGGATGGTTGGATGGGTGAGTGAGTGAATGAGTAGGTGGGTTGGTTGGTGACTGGGTGGATGAGTGAGTGGGTTGTGACTGAGTGGGGGGATGGGTGAGTGGGTGGATGGGTGAGTTAGTAGATGAGTGTGTTAGTGGGTGAGTGGACGGGTTGAGTGAGTGGGTGAGTGAGTGAGTGAGTGGGTGGGTGGCTGGGTTAGTCGGTGAGTGGGTGAGTGAGTTAGTGAGTGAGTGAGTGAGTGAGTGAGTGAGTGAGTGAGTGAGTGGATGAGTGAGTGGGTGGATTGGTAAGTGAGTGGCTGAGTCAATGCTGTGAACATCATTTCAGCTACATCACAGCCTGTCAGTTTGGGAGAATACCACAGGGAGATACAGTCATAGAGATCTAACCTCAAACATATACTACCCATCAAAAGTTTAGACTCACTTAAAGCACTCGCTATATGTTATGCATATATGCATGATTACATCGAAGATGAATTTCTCCACCAACTTTGGGGAACCAACTGCAAACTTTATGCAGATGGATTGCACGAGGATCATGCATTAAATTGCTAACAAGCATGTGCAAATATCGTGCATGTGAACGACTGTGTTGTGGTTTAATTTTTTGTAAAAAAAATCGCCAATTTTCACTCAGTTTCATCATATTTTTAACATGTGACAATAACCTTTTCAACGTTACGAATTTGTTTTACAATACATCATCAGTTCATGTCTAAACAGCACCTTTAAACAGTATGGAAAATTTTGCAAAATCTAGTTTAGAAGAGTTGACTTAAGTAAGTGGCTTCATTTACGCTAGTCTAAACTTTTGATGGGGAGCATATGTCAAGATCTAGGGTCACCGTTCCATTCATGCACTGACATTTTAAACATACTGCAACGAAATGTGGAAAATACAGATAATACTTCTTCTTCACATAGTATCAGCGTTTTTAAATGCATGTCAATGTGGTCTCGGGGATTGTGTACGTCTTTAAAAAGTCATTTTCATAACAGCACACAAGCTCCAAACAGACCCTACTTCAGCCACCAAACTTGATCAATACTACAAAAAGGGGTTGTATTTTCTCCACTCGTTGACGAAGCTGAAAAGACGAACCTCGACCGGAGCAGGCTATGCACACCCCATAACAAGTACCATACTTGGAAAAATGATTGTCACGTTTTCGTGACGAAGGTTATCAACAATACTGTCTGTGGCCACACAGGTTTGTATATTCAGCTGCAACTTTCAAAAAGGCCACAAAATATGCTGTTATAAAATAATATTTCTAACATATTTGTCAATACGATATAATAATAGTTCTGTGCATGGTTGGACAATGTTCAAGTTGCTGACAACACAGTTGTGTAGCCTGTCCTTGGCCTTGTTAAGAGGTCGCCGTGACATTCATATGTGTTGTTGGTTTGCTGGGTCATTAAATATCGCTCGCTCGCAATGATCGTAGATTGACTTTTTATTGTTTTTGTTTAGTGTTTAAAGGTGCACTCAGCAATATACCAGCTGTATACGGCGGTCTATAAATAATCGAGTCAGGATAAGAAAATCCAGTGATCAACATCGTGAGCATCGATCTATGCAATTGGGATACGGTGACATGTGTCAACCAAGTCAGTGATCACGTTAGTCGAGTATTACGACAAACATGGGTTGTTGAAGATCAATTCTAACCCAGATTTTCAAGGGTTCAGACAAAGTGATATTATTAACTAACGCTCCCAAAACTATTTCCAGACGCTTGAAAGTCCATCTACCAACCATAAAACTGTTATTTCATTTTCTGTCACCATTTGTGTTTTATATTTAGATCCATTCATGACTATTCAGAGTGACACACTCTCAACTAAGGGAATGATTTCAACTTTCTAATAGTCATCCTTCTCTTCATTTCAGCCAATATTTACAAGAATTTCAATGTTTATCATACGACTCAGTTATACGATCAAGGTTACAAAACACAGGACAAGGCTTTAAAACAGTTGCATTTTGGACATATGGAGGCCATTTGATAATTGATGCATCTATGACAAAAAGGATGTTCGATGCAATTCCCTATTTGGACTTGTACCATGCGTTCCCGAATCTTCAGGTGAAGAATTGACTTGCTGGTGTACATGTTTAGGACGGGTGACACCGTTGGACAGGAACCGCTCACCTTCTGACACCTGGTATCATCACTATTTGATAGTGGTTCATGAACATGCTCTGTCATTGTCTCTCATGATGTCAATCATTGGATTGTCTTGTCCAGACTCGACTATATACAAATCGCCGTCACACGGCTGTAATGCCGCTGAGTGGGGCGTTAAGTAAACACATGACCATGTTTTATTCAGAATTGTACAATTGACTCTTCTTTAAGCAGAGATGCGTTTCAAACCTACACAACCAAGGCATACATAATAATTCCTCTCTCATTTCATTGCCGTTTAGGGGCGGTGGGGTAGCCTAGTGGTTAAACCGCTCGCTCGTCACGCAGCAGACCCGGGTTCGATTCCCCACATGGGCATAATGAGTGAAGCCCATTTCCGGTGTTCCCCGCCGTGATATTGCTGAAACATTGCTGAACGTGGCGTGAAACAATACTCACTCACTCACTCACTCACTCACTCACATGCCTTTTGGGGCATAAATAATTTCATGTTCATTTATTCCTAATATTTTGACCTGTTTGGACCAGTATTTTAGTACCAGTTTGAACAATAAACGACGCACGAAATGTATCAGTAACAGAGTAAATGCATTATATACAATATTAGCCCCTTTATGCATAGGGTCTTAGATTTTCATCAAATTTTGTGAGCTGGTTTCTTTTGGCAAGAAATGAAAGGAATGAGGTGTCATTTTACCAGTAAATGAATTTGTCCATACTTTTTACACTGCAAAAGTGCGTCCCATAAATTCGACAATATGCAGATGAGTGAATTACGTAATTCATTAGGCTTTGGTGGGGGAGATCAACTTCTTAAATCTTAAAATTGACTCTTTTCATGCGAAAGCTTTCATAGAATAAACCAAACTGCTTTATATATGAAACTATGTGTATTAACAAATTGAAAACTGAACATTTCATGGGCATTCTTGATCCCATAAAATGTTTTCTGATGAACAAAACATCATAGTTGATGAATGTATCCCTAAGTCTTCTGCTGGGGAAGATCATAATGAAATGTTTTTCTATTCACGAGTTTCACTGGAAGTGGCCATGCTTAAAGAACGTAAACTCTACAAGTAATGTAAATGGTTCAACCACTAAACAATTCACTCAGTTTCATTCACGTCTATACTGCAAGTTTCTATCTTCAACAATAGGAGAGAAATGCTTGTTTGAAGTACCAGTCCCCCAAAAAGGACCATATGCAAAAATGGGTTAACTTGAACACCTTCGATCAAGAACAACAATGGCCAAGAACGAGATATACTGACTCACCAAATGCATGTTCCCCGTCTTCCAGGAGAAGTCCTTCGCGCCCTGACAGTTGTTGAAGAAGCTGAACAGACGCTGATACCACACAACGAGTTTGACCACTCGGTACGCCACGTACAGGGCCACGGATGTTCCCAGAGCCTGCAGAGCAGTGTCACGATTCAGACGAGATAGAAGTTGCTGAGTGTCCATCTTTGCAAACCACTCTCTCCCACAATGGCTGTGAATTCTCCTAGACAGCTAAGCGCCACTAAGTGCGGCTTTTATGCTGAGCCATGACCCAGTTATCTGGAGAAAAACACCCAACAACACCAGGACATCCGTTAAGTATGGAGTTCTGGAAGGGACATTGTCGCGTTTTCGCGTACTCGCGCTTTGGTTACTAGTAATTTTGACACTTGTTTTGATAAGGGAGATAACGCGACAATATGCCTTGTTCTATTCACTGACTGACTGACTGAGTTTAGTTTTACGCCGCTTTTAGCAATATTCCAGCAATATCACGGCGGGGGACACCAGAAATGGGCTTAACACATTGTGCCCATGTGGGGAATCGAACCCGGGTCTTCGGCGTGACGAGCCAACGCTTTAACCACTAGGCTACCCCACCGCCCCTTGTTCTATTCAAAAGCTATGAGGTAATAGTGTCTCGATTAACAGCTATGTGAGACTGCCATCTCGTGTAACAGTGGGACATGCAACAGATGCAATGTTTTTAATGCAATTTAAGGATAAGCAATCTTCAAGACCGCTCAAACAAATGATTGCGCATTTTATAACTCAAAGCAAATGTACGATTTTTTAGAGCTGACACTCCGGAATTGCAGTTCATGGGCTCCTTTCACGAAGCAGCCTTTACTAAGGTTAACCTTAACTCCCATTCTTTGATATTGCACTAAGGTTACCTTAGTGACTTACGATCCCCTTAGTGTTTTGTGAGAGGAGGCCCTGATCTCTCATATTAACGACAACATATTAAGAAGAGTACCGGTTTATAGACGTTGTGTACACCTCTGACATTTAGATCTAGGTTTGTTATTATCATTTAAGTCAGTAGGATGTTAAAACACCCATAACACAACACATACTTTTCACATCTGTACAACACATTGGTTTGATAAGTTCAGTATGCATACAGTCATAGAATGACCACTTTTTGTGCAAAACTATAAATTGATTCCGATTTTGTAAATATATATAAAATTTTGTCTCAAACGTTAGACATAGTCTGATGGTTGAACAGTAATTATCATATTCAATCACTGGCACAGAAGAGCCGCGAAAGGATCATGTCTTGTGGTGAGTTTGTATATTTTCCCTAATTATGATTGTTTGGTTGCCTGCATCTCTGCCTTGGTCGACAGATTCTCCAATATGGTACACGACCGTCTAAGACCTGGGCATGCTTGCACATAGCCCCCTTGACTTACGGCGATCGTAACTTCGTTCTTAGTCCTACGATAAGGGGACCAACTTCTTTCACTCCCTCCTGGCTAGTGAGTGAGTGAGTATAGGTTTACGCCGCTTTTGGCAATATTCCAGCAATATCACGTCTGGAGACACCAGAAATAGGCTTCACAAATTGTACCCATGTGGGGAATCGAACCAGGGTCCTCGGCGTGACGAGCGAACGCCTTATCCACTAGGCTACCCCACCGCCCTTATAAGTTAAGAATTATAGATTGAACTGTGGAATCAACTCAAGCTACCTCCACGACCTGAGTAAATAGAAGACAATTGTATTAGCCCTCACGCTTGACCTTTCTTATCGGAACGCTAAGGTATACTGGTCCGGGATTATGTCAAATGCCAGTTATACATCTGACCTTTGGCGAGTGTCATGGTTGGAACATGGTTGGTTAGATTATAATTTTCACATTCACAATTTCAATAAAATAATTGTAAATCTGTGTCTATTATATCCATGTTGATAATATGACCCAGCCTTAGCCAAAGCAATTATCGTCAAAATGAAGGCATTCGTCATATCCATGTCCCAGCCAGGGGGTTCTTGAAGGAGATATGCATGAAGTTTCATGCTCCAGCGTATTAAGTGCACATGTAAACTTCATCCTGCAATCCAGTTTCAACTCATCTAACAATGCAAGCTGCAACAAGACTGCAGGATAGCTGGCTTTCCACTAGACGTTGACGTCTATTTGGTGCCCATCGAAAGAGGAAGAATCTGCCTTTGTAGGAATGGACGTGGTTCGTTTAAGCGAGTGAGTTTAGTTTCAGCAATATCCTAGCTATGTGGCGGAGGTCTGTAAATAATGGAGTCTGGACCAGACAATCCAGTTATCAACAGCATGAGCATTGATCAGTTGGGATACGATGACATGTGTCAAGCACGTCAGCGAGCCTGACCATCCGATCCCGATAGTCGCCTCTTACGACAAGCCTGGGTTGTTGAAGATCAATTCTAACCCGGATCTTCATGGCTCGTTTAAGATAATGTATATAGTGAGGGCGTGTTTAAGAACTAAAGGGCATTTTTCAATACCGTGTAGTATTAGATGACGGCCCATTAATAGTCGGATAAACTGTTTGAGACATTAACGAATACTTGTACGAGTGTGTGTGTGTGTGTGTGTGTATGTATGTGTGTGTGTGTGTGTTGTTCGAATGTTTGTTTCTTGAACATAACATGCTATGTTTTGTATGTACCTGTATCCGTAAACACTACGCAAAATTTCGATTTGCAGTAAATTTGCTAATATCTCGTGGCGTGGAGGCGTTACGAACCCCAGGATGTGAAACCTTGTTTTGCACATTACATCTTAATACATAATTTTGTATACAATACTGTGCGAGGTCATATGTTTCACATATATCTCATATGTTTCACATGTATCTCATATGTTTCACATGTATCTCATATGTTCCACATATATCTGACGTATTTGCCTGGTAAGCTGTATACAAGGGTCTGAAAATAATTAATGTATTTTTTCCTAGAGATATTAAACATGATGCAAATAAATTCTTTCGAAATTCTTTGCGATGAGGCAGCCTAATGTTAAAGCGTCCGCTCGTCACGAAGACCCGGGTTCGATTTATGGGTACAATGTATGAAGCCCATTTCAGGTGTACCCCGCCGTGATATTGCTGGAATACTGCTAAAAGCGGCAAAAAACTAAACTCAAACACTCACTTTTGACAACATGTGGGATGGCAGCTGGGCCAGGGTGTTCCAACAACCAAATTCGGCTTGGTGCCCCACATGCGTATCCCGTTGAAATATTGCTGGAATAATATCCATATCAGTTGGACCAAGTGATCAAAATTGTAATGGTTAAAGTTAAATGTGTGTCTACATAGTAAGTCTTAGTTTAATGGTTTAATTGTGATGGCGTTTCGTATTTACGTTCGGTTTTTGTATTAATTTCTACCACAATTGCAATTTTACCAGCATGTGATTGTCTGATATCAACATCTCGTGCTACAAAACACAAAACAAGTATTTTGTCTGTGATAAGATTATATTCTGGAAACAATAGTTATAATTAGTTACACAGACAAATATTATATGGTCCTTTCAAACGTGTTAATACCGAAAACGTTTTACCGAAAGAGCGAAAAATCATACAAATCTTCCAATCACAGCTGTCAGATGATTCTGCCTGCACTGAAGTGCTCGTTAAACTACGGAATCTGATGTGGTGTAGTTTAACCTGTAGTCTACAACGTCATCCCCGTTCATCCTGCGCAGTCTTTAGTTTTTTGCAGATGCAAGCTCCAAAATCTGATGACATAGATTATACACTAAACGCCAAAAGAAACGTTACCCTCCTTCCCTAATGACGGAGGTACCTATCTTCAGCTGGCGTTTGTGATGCGTGCACGTCCACTTCTTGGTCTGTCTACGGTGATCCCAGTCTGTCTGAAGCCCTGAATAAGTCTTATAACCGTGATACGGTGGCATCCGTGGGCGTTGGCAACAGCATTGTATGTCGACCCCATCTGCACCATCCCAATGGCTCTTTCTCTCTCTTCAGCTGTTAATCGTGGCATATTTCTCGTACTTGTGTATCAGATCATGTCTTCTAGGCTCTCTTTATACCCTATAGAATTAATCTACATGTGAAATGGATACTGTTTGAATATTGCTGCGTCTTGGCGATTGATATTGCTATGTGTAAAATGGAAATGGAAAAATGTTACTTTGTAAGCAAAAATGTAAACAAAGATAGTTGAAGATGTTACTAAACATTTTTTCACAACATCAAAGACACGTTTTACTTGTTTTTCACTCATGCAAATCAGCAGAAAATGTTTTAAAAGGCAGAAATCATGGCAATGATTATTTTACAATTTTGCAAACTCTACAACAGTTGTTTCTTGTTCTAATAGTGAAAAATGGTGACTTTAAATGGTTTATCATTGTCCCAAAGCAGAATTATATTTCAACCTTTCTTTTGGACATCAAACTCACAGTCTATTATTGGTTTATTTCGGCATGGACGAATATAAGACAATTTAACTCTTCTGAAAAGATGCATTTCACCCAAATATGAATGCATTTGAGGATTTTTACGTGATTTGCATAAAGCTGTTTTGCTAAGCTTTCTTGTAAACTCAAACCTTCTAAAATGTCTTTGATAGTTTTCAGTGATTCATAAAGGTAGGAGGGTAACGTTTCTTTTGGCGTCTAGTGTATATTATACGGTAAGCCTCAGACTGATCAAACTTGTGTGGACAGCTGTGATCCGATAGACGAACTTATACTAGTGGTACGGACCACTCTGAAATGGACGAAATTATTCTCCTCTTTTCAGGTGGTTTGTTTCGCTGGCTTTAGGATTCGTAGTACTCCGTGTATAATGAGCGTTATTGCGCACTGAAACTAAGACGAAAGGTCGCGTGTTAATGGTTCAAAGGTAAACGATGGTAAGAATACGAGCAATTCCACCATTTGAACACATACTTTTTTTAAAGAAAAGTCAATGGGACTTGTGAGACGTGGCTTCATGGGTAATTGTACAGGGAGTATATATATACTAGCGTCCAAAAGAAATACGGCTGAATACGTTGCCCCAGTTGGTCCCAGAGGTGTTCGATTGGAGACAGATCGGGTGATCTCGCTGGCCACTGTAGCAGGTTGACGTTGTTAGTGTTGAGGAAGTCACTAGTGATCCGAGCTGTGTGAGGTGTGGCGTTGTCCTGTTGAAACAGAGTCCTTGGGTGACGTTGCAGGTAAGGCAGCA